AAAGGAGGGCAGTTGCCTCAGCTTTGAAGTTAGTGCAGATGTCACCTGCTGGTAGAGAGAGAGTTTCTGCTCTTCAAATGTTAATACAGTGCTTCTTTCAAGTCTGCTACTTAGACAACCACCCTAGGTTTGCCTAATAACCTTGATTCGTTTGAAATGTATATTTAAAGTCTCGTACATTTTTTTAATGTCTACAGACAAAACTGGCTGACACCCACAAATTACAATAAGTGATAAAGAAATTGAAAATGTCACAAACTTTGAATATATATGCTCCATGATAAAAAGCAGTGGAAACTTTTCGGCGAAAATCAAAAGGAGGGTGGCGAAGATTTAACAGCATTGAAAGTCTTTGGTTAAGCACCAGCAAGAAAATCACTGCTAACATTTTGAGAGCATGCATCTTCCCTGTAGCAATCAATATACGGATGTGAGTCGTGGACTTTAAGAAAGAAAACAGGGGCTTTTGTGATGAAATGTAAAAAGATTCTAAGAATACCACAGACCACGAAAAGTTGAGTTGAGTCAAGAATTGACTTCACAGCACTCAGGGCATTCCCATGCGCACTCTATCCTCATCTTCAGCATCCAGCGCAGAGTTCCAGTACTGATGGTACCGGTCACAATCTGGTTATATGTCCGTCTTGCCTTTCCTCTGAGTAAAGTGAGCCGGCCAGACCCTCTGGTTACACACATGTGGCTCATTCCCTCCAGGCCATAATAATCTTCTTTCTCTACTGATTCCGTTGCTTGTTCACAAAGGGCCTTGACCACATCTGCCTTGGCATGTATCAATTCACCACCCAGTGATGCAGATCCAGCCAGTCTGTCTGCCTGTTCATTACCCGCTACGCCGGCATAGCCTGAAAAAAAGATCCAAAGTATGCTCACTACCCGTGATCTTCCCAGTGAAGCTTGCCACTCTGGTCAAAGCATCCCTGTCTTCACCTTTCTCAGCATGCTTTCAGAGTCTGTTACAATTACGATATGTGTATGCATCTTGTTAGAAGAAAATAAATACTGACATTTAGAGATCATTTCAAAGATGGACATCAGGAAAGATAGATAGGGAAGATTGGCTTATAAACAGTCTCTTGTCTCGGAAGCTGACATTTTTTGGTCATTTCAAGCGCCAAGTCGGATTGGAAAACAATAATAACAGAAGGCATGGTACCAAGAAAGGACAGGGCTAACGAGGACGAAGATGGGTGCAGGATATAAGATAATGAAATAAGATATATGAAAGCGCGTGAGACGGACTAGCTGGCGAGAGACCGGGTTTCCTTCAATGATCATACTACATTTAAAAGGACATGATGTTTGCTTATTTAGTGTATGGCTTTACTGCCCCTGTAATTTGTCATAAGCAGTTCAGCTGTAATGGACAGTTTTTTTCAGGTAGTTTTAAACTATTTTCCCGTCGTGTGCGGACTGGTCTATAAAATATAGGTCTAGCCCTATAGGCCGTGTCCTTTAATTTTTACTTTTTAACAAACTATTTTAAGAATTTTTTTTTTAAATTATTATTATTGGTGAGCGGAGGTGAGCAGAGTTGAGAGAACTCAACTTAAGTGGCTTGAGAACACTCAAATCATAGTCCACAGTACTCGGTAAATGCCCATAAGCACCCAGTCCCTATTTGTCCGGCACCCAGCTCAGTGTCAATACTGATGGCGCCAGTAGTAAAAGTAGATAACTCATTTTCACGCCTTCATGCGTATTGGGCATATAGTGCTGGACCCACTCTGTGGGTTGTGTGGACAACATCACGCCGGCCGCCTTGACGTCCCATAACTTCACCGGGTACCCACTCATGGCTGGGTCTACATGGGAGCCAATGTCATTTTTAAGAAAAAAAATGCATGGTTTAGTTCGGACTCGAACCCACGATCATCGGCAGGCGAGCGACTAGCCGCTACACCACGGTGGCTCAAGTGACGTCTAATTAAATGTCCGTCTTGCTGTCCTCCTAAATATTGAGTGTTGGCCACTTCCCGTTGCATCATTATTCTCCACACGGCGATGATCATTCGTTTGGAAAAGAAAGGTGATGAGGTAGAGAACTGACACTTTACCTCATTTGTCAACGCCTTACATTTCAGACTCCAGAGGTAACATCCACAAAAGAACTACTACCCTTACCTTCAAAGGTATGCCCTTACAGGTAAGAAGATTTAGAACCTTTAATGGTGACAAATGCATCTCGCCGCCACATCGCAGGTACTGCGTAATGAATGCACTGTAGACTAGTAGAGAGCCCGCTTGGTTATAATGACCGGAGCTAGTAGTTAGTAACACCGTCAGGGTCTTGGGCTTGCGTTAAGTGTCGAAATTCAACCACGTCACAATTTTTAACCAAGTCAGGATTGAAAACAAGGTTGCCCGGTATGTGAACTTCACTTGCCACTTGTTCGTGCGAGGGAGCTGTTAAGCCGCAGATGTAAAGTCATTCACAACGTAAAAGCACAGAGAAACGATAGTTCATTTTACGTTTGTGAAAATGTTGCCCCTGTTAGTGATTTCTCTACTAATTCTGGAAGGTAAGTGAATCTTTGTCTTCATTTATGTGCGGTACTGACTGAGATCTAGCTTAGACTACACATTATTTTAGCTATGAATTATAGTACTTGTGTTTATCCTCGGAATTACACGACATTGAAAGCACAATCGCAAGTTATAGGTACTGTTGATGGTGTAGTGGAATAGCATATATGTAGTCGTAGTAATTTAAACAACGATATCCTATTTAGTCTGTCTTGAGTTATAATAAGGGGTATTTCTTTTTTTTTTTTTTTTTTTTGGCTATCTTCCGAATAACGGTCCCAAATTATCTAGGCCGAAAATATACCCTAACAGGGCCTAAGTCACATGTAAATTGCGAACTTTCGGCAACTTAAATTGCGCTTTCCCGGACACTACCACCACCGCCGAGAGTACCTCGCACGCCGCTACGAGCAACCTGGATTAGGGCTAAACTAGATGGCTGGGACTAACGAGCAGCAGCTACCGCATCTCCTGCAGCTTCCTTAATTGTATTTGCTCTTGAGTCCCAGGCATCTAGTTTAGCCGCGCGTAGCGGCGTGGGAGATACTCTCGGCGGTGGCGGAAGTCCGCAATTTACATGTGACTAAGGCCCTGTTAGGGTATATTTTCGGCCTCGATAATTTGGGGCCGTTATTCGGAAGATAGCCTCTTTTTAAACTTTCTGTATTGTATTTGTATGCTTATCTATTGATTTTAGTAACAATATTCGCCTGCGGATCGGAAGGTCGTTGGTTCGGTTCCTGGCGAAAGCCGGATTTTTTTCAAAAATGACTTTGGCTTCCTGGTTGTCCAAGTCTTGAGTGGGCACCCGATATTTAAAAAAAAAATCTATAAAATATAATAGGTCTAACCCTATATACCCAATACGCCTTAACATTTGCTTTTTACTTTTTATATTGCCAACATAGATTATGTGTATTGGTTTAAGTTTATAACATGTATGTTGTTAATACCGCAATGTAAACAACAACAACAACAGGATATTTCGCTTTTAGTCAAATGATCATAAAAAGAGAACTAAAAGCTAATGAAACTTGAGTCCTCGTAAACGAAGATGGGTCATCAGAGAGATTTCATTGTGTGAATTGTTTTTAATGTGATAAATCACCATGGTGTGATATAGGATTGATATGGTGGCTAGTGTTCATAATGTATGCCAAGATAGCGGTGCTAATTTTAATTCCACAAAAGCAGAGTGTGTTTGTCCGACAATGCTCAAGGGTCGACTTAGTTTCATAATAATTGGTACCCAGCAATTAAAACAAAATTTCTGATAAATTGACTGACAACGAAAGGCTAAGAGGACGTAAAATGGTCACCTCATCCTGTATGCCATGTAATAAAATACACGAAGGCTTTACTCTTCGCAGGACTACGTTAACTGTTATTCAGTTTTGGACTACGTTAACTGTTATTCAGTTTTAGCACTGTCTTCATAAATAAATAAAATTGTTTCAGGAGCTAAGGTGGTCACGTTAAAGTTGCTAGGTTGTCCAAATTGATTAAATTCAATGCATTTCATTGAGTAAAGAGTGAGTGCTTCTTTCTCAAGCCCGTATGACCTTGGTAATCTGTCCCGTTTTCTGCCACATGTAGTACTGAAACATGTTTACCCCTGCCATGATGCCAAACTGTATAACGTCTTTTCACCTGGCCTCCCTCCCAGTGGCCGGCCCATTTTATTATTCTTTTAACTTTCCAGTTATCGTTAGGTAAATTCCCCGTCTCTGGCTAGCCAAAAGAGTGATTTCTTTTTTTGTTGATGCCGGTGATAAGTTTTCTTATTTAGAAATCTGCTTTCAGCATATGTTCATTACGCTTCTTTTCTGCCTATGATGTTCTCATAATTCATATGTAAAAGATCTCAGATTAAAAATTTGCTTTTTTTCCCGTGTCCGCTTTTGAGGTTCCTCTAGAAATATTAGTTTTACTATTACAATTGTAACTTTAATATCCTTTTCGCGACACGCAGTCATCTTATACTTTGGCCCACATACAGAACTTGTTTTCGGTGCTGCAGATATTCAGTGTAAATACCTCAGTATTTGTTGCCGTTATCCTGGTCTTTGTCGTCCGAATGTTTATTGCAGTAGTATCGATATGTGTGTTCTTGAGAAAAAGATAGGGGCTACTATTCCTTACGTCCTTCTTAGGACGTAATTTTTTGTTTTTTGAGGCCCCACTCTTTCTTTTGCCAGGGGCCGCAATATAGGCAGGTCATCATTATGGCCAAATGACTTAACGCGGTTTCTGGGACCTCTCCACGGTGATCCTCATCCGCATGGTGGCACTTTGTATCATCGGGTGTTTTGAGCTTGTGTGATGTCCTGGTGGGGTAGAAATTCAGTCAGTCAGATAGGGGCTTTTGAGCTGAAATGCTATAGAAAGATTCTCAGAATATCTTGGACGAAAAAGAGGAGAAATACTGACATCTTGAAAGATCTGAACACCAAGGAAGATTTGCTAATAAACGGCATTCTGTCTCGGAAGCTGAAATATTTTAGTCATATCAAGCGCCACGACGGATTGGAAAAAAATATAGCAGAAGGCATGGTACCAGGAAGGAGGGGCAGGGGCCAACCGACACGAAGATGGGCACATGATATAAGTGACTCCTTGAGTATGAAAGTGCATGAGGCGGGAGAGCTGGCGAGAGACTGAGTTTCTTTCAGGCAGACCGTGATGAGGGCGACGTTCTGCAAAGGACCTGCTACATGATGATGATGACGATCTGTATGTGTATATATGTGTGTGTGTGTATATATATATAACTATATGTGTGTGTGTGTGTGTGTGTGTGTGTGTGTGTGTGTGTGTGTGTGTGATAGAGAGCGAGAGGGGAGCATAAAAGGGGGTGGGGGTGACAGTTTTGAAATCACAGTTCTGATTTTCCCCAACACGGCCAGTCATTCAGGCATGAGCCCCGTTGGCCCTTGCCCAGGGGTCCCACGAGCATAAGGCCCGACGAGCACAGGGGCCCACTCTTAATTTGGGTATGTCAACTGACTTGCAATAAATATAGATTTTATTCCTGGGTGGTTGTATCCGGGACCCCAGCGCACTAGCTTTCACAGGGGTCCATAATGCTGTTAAGATGGCTCTGACAACAAACTGTATATGTAATCGTGGCTAGAATGTATTCTGCCTTTGTCTAATGTGGTGTTTGATTCATCATCCTTGTAAAGTATGGTTTACGTTGTCTGTGGTGAGAACACATCCCTGACTAGATTTGTACACTCATTTACTACAGCTGTCAGTGATATCTACCTTCTAGCTTCATAGTGTTTGTTATTGGTGATTTGTGAGGACTGTGTCACGTGTGGTCCTAGAGAGTTCGTAAAAGGGACTCTCCTCGAATATCAAGAAAACAGAAACAATGGTTATATCAAAAAAGGAAATAACTCCAAAATGTGTCATAGCAATAGAAGGGAAAGTGCTTAAACAAGTAATTAAATTCAAGTAGTTGGGAACATTTATAACATTAGATGGACGATGTGTGACATAAATAAGGAACAGAATTGGCCAGGCAAGGACAGCAGTCCAGAAGATGAAAAGTATTTTATGTAATTAATAAATCTCATTAAAAATCAGAATGCTAGTATTGAAATCTTTCGAGCCTGTTCTGTTGTATGGTAGTGAATCTTGGAATGTAAGCAAACAAATTCAGAAGAGTTTGGAAGCAACTGAGATGTGGTTCTTGAAAGGAATGTTGCGAATATCTTCAACTGCCATAATAGTCAACATTGAATGCCTTGAAATGGCTAATGAAATTATAACATTACGTACGACAATGAGAAGGAGACAAAGTTCTTTGGTCATGTGATGAGAAAAGGAGCACTAGAAAATATCGTGACGACTGGAAAGATCACTGGTAAAAGAGGCAGAAGCAGACCAAGAGAAATGATAGTGGGCGGCTAAAGACAGTGGCATGGAGGAATATCATTAGTATAATTGATCCAGAACATCAAAGACCAAGATCTGTGGCGACGCATGAACGCCTAATGTCATAGCACTCTGGGATCTCCTCCTTAATAGCTCCACAAGAGTAAGACGACAGATCACGCCTGTTCCGTGCTGATTAAACAGATGCAGTGTGTGCCCTTGTCACACAAAAAATTATATCTAACTGCTTCAATTTGCAACCCCCCCCCCCCCCACCCAATTCCCCCCTCCCCCTTTTACCCACTAACCTGAAAGATAGCTAGTTGTGATCTTCTTCGCGATATGCATTGACAGCACTCCTGCCTAGTCAAAGTGACCTTGCTTCATATTTTCGTTAAAGCGGAGTCCAAATATATTTTCGTATATTTTTTCTTCGAATTTTATTTGAAAAGCACTCCATTGGTAATTTTGTGTAAGCTGGTTCCCCCCCCCCCCCCCCCCCGTGAAATATGTATATTAATGGGGTATTTCCACTTTGAATCATTCAACCTAATGTTTATTCATTCACTTTATAACTCATAAATACTTTATGACATTTGTGTAAACTGGTTTATTTTGCACTTCCAGGTCTTGGCAATGTCCGACAACATTCTAACAGAGGGCAACAAATCCTAACATAGGGCAATAAATCCTAACATAGGGAAACAAATCCTAACACAGGGCAACAAATCCTAACACACGGCAACAAATCCTAACATAGGGCAACAAATCCTAACATAGGGCAACAAATCCTAACATAGGGCAACAAATCCTAACAGAGGGCAACAAATCCTAACACAGGGCAACAAATCCTAACACACGGCAACAAATCCTAACATAGGGCAACAAATCCTTACATAGGGCAACAAATCCTAACAGAGGGCAACAAATCCTAACAGAGGGCAACAAATCCCAACATAGGGCAACAAATCCTAACATAGGGCAACAAATCCTAACATAGGGCAACAAATCCTAACATAGGGCAAAACATCTTTACAATGGTCACGTTTGTGTGTAATATCACACGGCCTGCATTCTTGTCTCTTGGGCTGTGATGTTGGTTATGTGGAATTCT